GGTTACAGTAAGCCGTGTTTAACCCTCTCTGCATATCTTGCTACTTGCTCTTCCTTTCAGATGATAAAGTTTCTGGAATAAAGAGCTGAGGTAGAGCCCCATATTCACCCTAAGAAGTTGGGTAGAGGCTCTCTGGTAGCAGCTTGCACATTTGCTGGGCTCAGCAAAGCTGTGGTTGCCAGCTGGGGAAGAAGCCCAAATGCAACTTGCTCCTGCTGCTTGTTGTCATGGTCGGGGTTCAGCCATTCCAGGAAACACAAAAACAAGTTCTGGGGAAATACCAGTCTGTGCCCATGGGAAGCACCTAATTAGATGTGTTTATCAAGTGTTTTGTAATTACAGAAATATGTAGCTAATTATTTTTCTTTGAGCCACCTCATGCTTATCTTTCTTAAGAATGTGCCGTGAAGAAAGAAAGTAAACTGCTGTTTAATTTTCCTTTGAAATAGATATTTAAGGCAACTGAACCATAACAGTGAATGGGATGCAGAGACTAGGCTAATGTTTGAATAACATGAGATTGATATAGAACTTTCTCCTGTGCTACCTTTTTCTGAAGTTTTAAATTTTAAAATGCGTAATACAGAGCAAGGATGGTCCAGATCAGTGATCTGCTTATTTGCAAGAGGTAGCATATTTGCTAAATTCTAGCCAGATTAGGGTTCTGGATTTGATAATTTGGTTTTTCTTTCTTCTTTTTTCTTTCTTTTTTTTTTTTAAGATCCAGTTAATTATTTGAAAAATACAGTGTAACAGGAAAAGTATTTTCCAAACAGTAGTAGCTTCTACTTGATGCAGTTTTATTCAAAATGGAAAAGGTTCCACTCCAAATAGTTGTGTTATCTACAATTATATACATCTATTTTTTAATTAAAATAATATTTTTTTATTATGAATTATTACATGATAAAATGTGGACTATCTCAGGAAATACTCATCTTGAATAAGCAAATAATGCTAAGGTTACCTGTGCTTATTTTGGACAAAATTCTCTTGCCTTATGATCAATGATTCACTGAGTTATGGAGGTATTTTTATGTTCCCCAGAGATACTAAACCAAATGCAAAACCAATAAGAAAGAAGATTTACAGCTCTTTGCTATAGATACTGCTTTTGAATAAAAAAAAAAAAAATTATTGCAATATATAATGTACAAACAAAAATGGGTAACCTCAGACATTAGTTCCTACAGTCTCTTGTATGGACAAAGCTTTTAATCAGAGCAAAGCTTCAGGTCGTGAGTAGTTCTCTGCAAGATATTACAGGCACCTCCTTGTGCTGCCGAGCCAAAGCTCAGTGCTTCCCCCTCCTCCTCCTTTCCCCTTTCATTGCTCTCTCCCAGCTGTGAAGACTCTGGGACAGTCTGATCGGGAAGAATGAGTGGCCAGTGCTGCTGGACTGGGTGCAACACCACCAGGCAGTATTCCAGCCTCAGGAGAAGGCAGGAAGTAGAGGGGAGGCTGAATTACCACTGAGTCAAAGACAGGGAAGAAGAAGGGTTTAGGAACATGTGCATATATATATATGTATTTATGTATAGAACAGAGGGGAATTGGAAGAGAGGAGATGAAGAACATGCAGAGATGAACAAGGAAGGATCACCCTGTGGTTGATACGTAAGATTGAGACTAATTTACTGCGTTGTATATGATCTCTAAAGTTGGCTATGTACTTAAAGGGTTGTACAAGCACCATACATTAAATACGGGGAGACAGACTGAATCAGCAGAGACTGAATCTCCTCCTGTGTGAGGTGAATGGCAGCCATGCGATTCCAGGATAAAATCAGAAAGGAGCAAATTCGAAAGATCTTGAGCTTTAGCTACTTGGCTCCACAGGCTGACTGCCATTCTGTTAAAATACTGATAGACTTTAGGTTTTGGCTGATGGTAGGTGTTTCAAATGTAGGTGATGTATTGCTATAATGGCAATTGCTGTATTACTACTTATGGTTTTAAACCCGTATGTTTTGTGGTTTAATTGGAAAGAGAGGGTAGAGAAATCTTGTGGGCAAAGCTGTGGAAATAGAGGGAAATTTTCTTAAGTGTACTGTTAAAGAGCTGAAAGCAAATTTTGATTTGATGGCACGAGTAAAATCCTCTGCATTCATTTTCTTTCTGTGTTGTCTAACTTAACTGTTGGTTGTACAAAAAGCAGAGATAATTAGTGTTTGAATTGTGGTAATGTAGAAACCAAAACCAGGACTGCAGGTAGAAAATGGTGTTGAATTACTGAGGCCCTGCATTAGAGAAATTGCTGTCTACTCAGAACAAACAAAACACAGAAGTGGAAAACTGAGGCATGAAAAGAAAACAATTTGTTCTATAAGAAATCAGGAAATGAGCTCAGGGCTTATGATTGTCATCCTGCATTTTAATTCCAAGCGCACTCTCTCTTTCTCTCTGAGAAACAAGAGTTAATATCAAATTATTGAACAATTTAAAAAGAAAACAAACTCCATTTGTTCCATTCCACTTTGGAATTAGCAACATTTTTCAATTAATATTTATGTCATTATATCCATTGTTACTTTACATAAATGAAGTATATATAATATGCCAAATTTTAGCCAATGACTATGCAAGATATCCATGGATTGTAACGTCAACCAGTTTCTGCTTTTCTACATAACAGTACCTTAAGAGAAAATGAGAATGATACCTTGTGGCTCAAGTCAATGCCACCCATAAAATGTACATACAATGCTTCTTGAAGCAAACAATGCTTCTTGAGGAAATTGTAGAATAAAAAGATAAAAAATTAATTTAAAAGATCACTTAACAAATATTTTTAGTGGGTGAGAAATGAGAAGGCAAAATAAAAGAAGGCAGAACAAACTTAGTTGAATAAATACTTTACCCATGCTTTCTGCTGAAAAAGAATCTCTTCTTCAACTGCAAAACTCTCACTGGTAGATTCAAGGAGTCTGGTTGTGTTTTCACAGTGGAAACATTTAAAGCATTGACAATGCTCAAATCAGAAATACATGTAATAATATAAGATGTAGGTGTTTGAGAGAACTCAGCTAAGTTGCAATACATAGGCAAATGCAAAGGTGTCTCTGAAAGAGCATCTATATATAGAATGCTATTACAGTTAAGAAAATGTAATTTATACTTGGGATAACTTAGGGTCTTGCTGTATGTATGAGTGAAGAAAATCCTTATCTTTGGGGAATAACAATGGAAGTAGCTTCCCCTGATGGACTGGGCGTAGAGATCTGAATGCTATTGGCACTGGTTTTGACATTGGTTTTGAATAAAAAACCAGGTCCTTCATACCTTTTCTTTTACACAAAATGAAAGCCTAATGACTTGGAATTGAAAGTGTACATGTCTTACAAGGTTTTTATTAAATACATGCTTATTTCAGTAGTTGGGAGCCTAGCTGAAGACTAGAATCAAAAAATTACCAACTGAATAACCAGTAATGTGCTTTTATTTATGCTGTAATTTATTTGGGAGAGAGATGGGAGTAGCATGATAGTAAGACATTATCTTCAAAGTTGCCATGGTAATGCAACCTACTACCTGTTGCTAAGACTATGCTGTGGCTGTTATTACTTTTATTACAGCTCTTAACATCTCAAGATGTATCCTTTCGTTTTAAGTGTTATTATGATTCAATTTCATTTGTAAGAAAACCAGTAAGTTTTGCCACTTGCCAGCAGGGCTCTAGAGCAATAGGAATGATAGCAATGCAAGAACCTGATTCTGTTAACATAGGTCCCATCCTCTAATACAGAGCAATGTACAGGCTATCAAACCATTTAGGAAGACAAGAATATCAAGACAGTTGAGTTCCCTATCTATGTTATTATCCACTTTCCCTGGAAAGTCAGTGATCAATATTTGGAGACAGAAATGACAAAATGCCCCACCAATAATGCGATATAAAACCTTCAAAATGCAAACAAGTGGTTCTTAGCATTAGAACTAGAAATGGTAATATCCACTTTTCTAAGAGGATCCTGTCTGCTGTAAGTCTGGTTTCCTGATCCAGCAAAGTGTCCTAGGACCTCTTTTACTGTCCTGAACCATGCTGAGCAGCAGCAGTATGGTAAGCCTGAATTCAGCCAAAGTGCTTTCATTCAGAATCACAACAGCATGAGACTCTAAAGATGCCGTCAGTCATATGCTACTGCATGTGAGTACTGTAAACTGCAGGTAAGAGTGGAAATCATAAATGGATCGCTCAAAAAAAACCAAAACAAAAAATCAGAAGCCTGTCTCCTCCTAGCTGCCTGTTTTCCCAGGCTTTCATTTTCATCTATTACTAGTGAGTTCAGCCCCTCTAGATAGTAGATGACCTTCTCAGTACAATACAGTTCAAGGAAAATGTTTACCGAAGTCAAGATGGTCTGCCTTTCATGTATGGAGGGAGTGATACATGACTTCTGTCTTCTGCACTTACAATGCTATATTTATACAAGTCTCCATGCTTTCTGATTGGATTCTTTTTTTCAAGACCTGTCTCCTAGCTTTAGTTCAATAACTCTTTATTCTTTCCTCCTGGATAGCAACACTTGTCCTTTTCATCTACGTGTGAAAGCTGAATTTTGCAAAATTTGTATTGGTAAACTCCTATATCTGAATTTCTCATGTCTTCAAAAAGAAAAATTTGTGATTAAACAGGCTGTGCAATTTGCCTGTTCTTATGCTCTCTTTCTGTCTTTATGTCCCGTGGTTTAGCACTTGATCTAAACTTTTAGATAATTTTTTGTATTTTTGTCTAGAAAATACTGAAAGTTAAGTATCACACAGTAATATCAAAGAGATACGTTACTGCATTTTATCCAGAGCAGTACTCTGAGTGCTACTGCAAATGGTCATTTTTGTTTAACTGAGCCGTGGGATAATACTACGCTGTATGTGCGTACACAGTACGTACGTGTTTTGAGGGTGTGCCTCCACTGATGGGAACTAAAGGTGTATGTATCTGTTATATTTATTGCAAAATAAATAGTCCCAGGGATAATCACAGTGAAAGGCATACTTACAGATAAGAGGTCTGGTGTGGTCTCAGCTGTCTGAATACAGTCCTCATGGATGAGGTCTCAGTTTCTTCTCCAGCTATGCTCTGCTTATAATTGTGGCACCTAATTTAGGAACAGAAGCATCTTAGACTCCATCTGCAGTCAAAGACAAAAACATGCATCTCTGAAAGGTAATTCAGGCTCTTTAAGTGTTAGTCACTGGGCGGAGGCAGCTATTCCTCTCCACTGACTTACACCTACGAGTATGTGAAATATATTTGACCTTAAGGCAATAATTCATAGCCCATTATCAAACTCAGAGACAATTGAAAGTGTTTCCAGTGCATTATAACATATTGGCATTTTGGAAAGCTACCTTCTTTAGCCCGTGCAAGATTGTCTGTCCTAATTGACTGGGCATTTTGTCAGTCAGAGATTGCAGGCTCTGTGTTTGCTCATGCAAGAACAAACAGGTCTGTGAAGAGGGAAATGTAGGTACTGCTTCAGTCTCTGAATTTCTGATGACTGCTGTTATATGGTTCTCTATGGCAGTTTTCTCATCCTCTTGGATTTCAGTTGTCTGCAAGAACTTTTCCAAAGTCTGCATGTTGTAAGAGCTGTGCCTCAAGATACTTCAGTTCAGAATCTTTTCACCAGTTATTGATATGATATGATACGGTTTAAGGGAGGATTTTAAAAGTGTCTGTATAATACTCATTTAACTTGTTCATTTGTCAGCATGGACAACTGCTAAAGGCATGCCTGTGGATCTTAGGATCTTCCCATATATCCAGATAGGGTGTGCATCAGTGCGAAAACAAACTTACCAGGAGAATTCCAGTATTGAGAAGGGTTTTATGAAGATTGTCAACTTCTCTTTCTTGCATTTTACTGATTGGCACGAGGAGTGGTTATTATTCTGTTTGAGAGATTAAGATACAACAGTGGTATGGATTTTGGTCAGTAAAGGAGGACAGAAATTAGAGCTACAGGTACAGTCAAACAGTGCTGATAGTTTATGTTGAACATAAGAACCACCATTCACTTCAAAGTACTAAGAAAGGAGGATGTGTGAAATGTCTCATCTGCAACGTTTTCAGGCCTGGAAAAAGAAATTTGATTAGCTGAAATTCAAGTAGTTGACTGGTAATAAATAAATAAAAATAATTCATTCGTGGGGTAGGACCACTACAGGGGAAATTATGGTTTCTACACCATCATTTTATCCGCTTTTTGTAAAAAAGGTGTACCAACAGTTACCTTCCTTTGCAGAGCATTTGGAAACAACACTGCAGAAAGCATTGGATGAAATCATTACTTATTAGCTCATAAGGACTATTAGCAGAAATAGTAGATCCATGCAGAGTATGGCACAGAAAACCTCATGTTTTGGAATGTTTACATGTTTAAAAATTCAATGCTTACAAGTTAGTGAAGTGAGATGGCTGGCCCAGTTTCTCCTGATGGGAAGAGGAGTCATCCTCTCTCTGTAACCCCTAACATCAGTCTCGCTGTTGTCTGTTCAGAGGAAATGTCCTTTTTACTGAAGAACTGATACACATGAGGAAATCCTTATAAAATGCTTTCTGCGAACAAGAATTTACAGTAAATTTATAGCACTATTACAACAAAATGAAAATAATCCAAACAAGCACAAATCACCATGAACAAGCATTCAACCTCTTCAGATAAAATATAATTCCAGTAATTCTGGAAACTTTTCACTTTGCTGCTTTTATGCAGCAACATTTCCCTCTTCTAGAAAGCTTTCCACTAAAACCAGATTGATGCTTAAAACATAAACAACTCATCTTCCTTTAACTCAGAAATCTCAAACCTTTTCATAACTGAAATAGTGGAGGAGCCATGGGCTCCATGGAGTCCACAAGAGGCCTTACTTCTGCCACTTGGTTTTCCATGAAAAGTAGTCAGCTGCTGCAGTACATGCTCTAAAATACTCCATTTAAGAAATATTGGGATGAAGACTTTAGAAAAGCTTGACTAGAATAAGTACATATAACCTCTTGTGAATTTGCTATGGTATTCCTGACTTAGCACATGGAGCTGTGTGCTAAATAAAATCAAAAATTTGGTGGTTCATTCTAACTTCTGTTGCATGAAGCTGCTCTGTTGTTTTGTCACAGCTATGGCCCTATTTTCTCTCCTAATTTGTTGTGCTTGCTCAGTGAAATTGAATAGCACATCATTTAAGGCAAGTCCCGGAGAAGTTGTTTTGCTGTGTGCAAATGGCTTTTTCCTCCAGATGTGACAGGCAGTTAAGAGCTGCCTCATTTTTTTCTTAACCCTTCTGAATCATCTTGAAATCCTGTTGATGCTGTGGCTGCCAGAGTGCTGTCGTTCTTGCCCCATAGCCGATTTTCTCATGCCTGTAAGCTGTCATGCATGTCAGTCACAGTATGCACTGCACAGGCTCCTTTTGTAGGTTGCTTTGGTTTGTTTGGTTTGCTTTCTTGTCTGTTTTAACAAGGACTGAGTAAAATTCAGGAGCACAGCAGCCCCTGGGAGATGTCACTGCTGGAAGCTCCTGTGGCAACTTGGCACCAGTGAGAGTGCAGCCCTTCATGTTTGTGGCCGCAGATGTCCCAGCCTTGCATCTTCAGCCCAAAGCAGTCGAGAACCTGTACCCTGGCCATTTCCCTTCACCCTGCTTGTTTCATTTGGGAACACAATGAGCTGTCAAAATTTCCTGCCCTGTTTCCACAGAATCCTTCCTTTTGCTCTGAAAGGGATTATTTATCTAAAACTGCTAATAGCATAAATTGTCCGAACAATTGTTTAGCTTGATTTTAAGGTGGAGAGCAAAGAGATGTAAAGCTCTGGTGGACTGATGAAAGTTGCCCTCAAAGTCCTCTGTCAAAATGACAAAAAGAAAATCTGGTGTGTTGCCATGAATGGCCCTCACCTCTTGGACATTAAAAACCGTGTGATATGTTGTACCTCTGGTGCAATTCCTGTTCTAAGTGTCTCTGTTGAGTGTACTTAGATGTAATTAAAAGTAATAGGGAAGTATGTAAATGTTTTCCAAATATGTGAGCCAAGAAAAAATGGAGGAAGAGAGGTGTGGTTGATTTAGCCCGCCATCATTTCCTAACTAATCTTCCTCTAATGATGGAGAGAGAGACTAGGTGGCACCTGGTGAAGTATTTTGAAATAACACATTCATGAGGTAGAGCTACTTGATAACATCTTTGACTCATCAGAAACTTGCCTTCCCTGAGGATAAAGTTAATAATCATAGAATATAAAGATTTTAGTGGCTTTTCCTAAGTGATCAGGGATGCAGATTTATTGTGCATATAGATTCCTATAGTGCTAGAGACAGCCCAAACTTATATTATCTGTAGAAAATGTAAAATAGCTGATTGGAATCCTCAGTAATTTGCCATGACTTCAGGTCCTTGGCTTTGCTAGTTAAGTAAAACTCATTCACATTTCTTACTAATGGCATCATTACCTCCCTTGCTTTCCCTCTCTTTGCTGGAATTGCTTGCCTGGATAGTGTATGTAGGTGTCTGAGTTGGCCGGTCTTTAGTTCGATATGAAACATCAGCAACACCATGAGAGGAAGCTGGACTACCAGTAAGAGGCAGGTAGCTGGGCCACAGAGCAGTTGGGGCAGAAAAGGTGACAGTAGTAGTGAACTTTATTTAAAATAGTTTTAGCTGTATGTACCCGCTATCTCTCAGCTTTGTGTTATCAAGTATTGCTAGTGCTTTTCTAATTCTTTGTCAAGATCATCAATAAAAAATCTTTAGGACCATTCCCAGTATGAGTTTTCTAAAGATCATGGAGTTCCCAAGAAAAGGTTTCCTTTCAGTGCACCTTGTTATCTTCTAGTCTTTTCAAACTTCAGTTTTTGTACTCATCTCTTGCCTTCTCTTATATGTTTGACAAAGTCCATATGGTTGAATTGCACTACAGTATTGAATTTTTTCCTCTTGTCTAACAGTTACCTGTTTTGTTTGAGGTAATTAAGTGTGTTGTATGGTTTACTTTTGGTAAGCCCACATTGTGTTTTCTTCCATGTTCCAGTTGTCTACCTACGTTTAGTGTTCTCTTCTCCAAGATCTGGGGTCATACTGTTGAGATCAGAGTTAGGCAATCTTTCGATACATAACTGTGTATGATTTTGTTACTCTCTAGTACTGTGGTACCTCACTTGATCTAATAGATATATTATTTCAGGTCGAAAGAGAAAATCAGTCTTTCTGGGTTTACAGTATTATATGTCATGGATTTTTTTCAGATTTTTGGAGTTTGAATTTCTCTCTTTTTTTGAAAGTATCTGTTGATTTAGTCACAAGTGACATGTTTCTCAGTGTGTTAATGCAGGGGACTATTTGCTGCTTCCTGTTAATTCATTGGTGCCTACAGAAAAACAAAAGCCTTGGTCAAGGCATGCTCTGAATTTACACTCATTCTTAATTTGCTGATGCCTGTATTAGTAACAGGCTCAAGCCTGCCTAATTTTTTTGAGTCTATATAATGTGTACCATATGCTTGCCATTCTTACTCTTTCTGCACACATCAGCCAATCTGATGAGGCTACCTGTGACAGAGAGCAATGCTTTTAAGTCTGGGTGCTGCTTTATGGGCTCTGGCACGTGGGTGCTGATGAATATTGCTTTGGTGTTTTACAAAGTCTCCAGCTATTTGCTCCACCCTTCTGTCCTTTAACACGAGGATTGCAGGGAAATACGTTCATATACCTTCATTGCCACAAGTTGCATGTAATTTTAAACTGCTGATGAAGGTAGATCTATGGTATTATCATACCTTTGAAGTGGAACAGCTGAAGAGTAGGTAGAGGTTTGCACCTGCTACCTCTGCTATCAGAAGGGGTAAGTGGGGTCGACAACATCTTGAGTTGTTTTGAACTGGTTCCTTAGAGTAAGAGGTTGGCAAGCAGGAGCTGAAAACAAGGAACACATGTTCTGTCTCTGGAAACAAAAATGCTAAGCGAAAGGGTGAGAGAATATAGATTTGTATTTATAATCAAAAGTGACTGTGTTTGAAATATTCTTAATTTGCATGCACGCTCATATGTCTTTCCTACCTCTGAGGACCCCTAGAAGGCACGGAAGTTTTTCTCAACCTCAAATATTTACCTTAATATTTCTACTTGGCTTTCTTCCCTTAGACATAATTGTAAGCATATTTAAAGCGAACATTAGATAGA